CTCTCATTGCCTTCACCGATTGGTCCGCCCCGCTGTCGCTCACTCTGGCAGGACCAATCAGCTGGCCCAGGCCGGGTGTGGGGCAGCGCTGGGCTCGGAGCGCGCCGGGTGCAGATGCTCGGGGCTGTGCGTTCCCGATGTATACCTTTAAAGTGTATCCCGAACAGCTTAAAGTCTGCACCCGTGGCTGCTTAATAGAATAAAGCTCTATTCTTTACGTGACCACTTCAGCAGGTCCCCGCGTTTCCCAGTTCTCCGCGTTTCCCTTCACCCTCCATCCAACTCCAGTGACAACGGCAGTGCCGCTTTGCCTCTTGGCTTGGATCTCCTGGCACACACTGCCGAGTTCCTGTGGGGAAGCTGCCAGTGCAGTTATCAGAGCCCTTCTGTACCACTGCACACCTGCCCGGCTGTGCTTCCCTGTAACACCGGGTTTCCCGGTGCCCGTGCGGGAGCCGGTGTTGGCTGCACAGGGGGATGGAGAACGCCAAGGAAAGGCGTCAGAGGCCAACAAATGAGGGCTCTCTGAGGTACAGGGGTGATAATTCCAGCTGAATGCCTACCTGATACTTCAGAGCTTTATTCCTCCACAAGATGGAAGCCAAGACCCATCTCTAACCCCAAGCTTTCCTATGTTTCTCGCTGTATCGTACAAGCTAAAGAGATGCTTGTGAAGAGCAGTCACGTCTTGCTTTTCACATTTGAGTACCTGTTTTTATCTTGTAGCCATGCTGTTCTAGCAACACTTGCTATCCTGGGCCACTGCCATTCAAATGGAAGGCTCCATACAAAACCACACCACAAATTTTGTGTTTGTCTTCAGTGCAAGCAGGTTTTTGTGCAGGTTTTGGTTCAGTGCAAGCAGGTCTGTTACCTCCCCTGCCCTGACAAATCTCTGTCTCACCTTCTGCCATTACCTCCTACAAGTTAATACAAGTAACAATTCCTACTGACTCACTGCTGATATTGAAATCAGACGCAGGCCATTTAAGGCAAAAGGCTTTCCCTGTATTCCTTCATAGCAAATGTGAGATGAAGAGATACACAAACCACATATTAATGCAGAGATGTGTCAGTTGCCTGTGATGATTTGATTCCTTATTTGAAATAAACTCTGCAGAATTTCTGCATCAAATACTAGGTTTTTCTATGTATGCAATGTAGAGCAGGATAGAATTCCTGTCTTTTCAAACTGCCATGTAGCTACTTGCTGGTTTGTCCTGTGAAAAACAATTCTGCCCATCCTAGCTTGAAGGGCATGGAATGTACTTGTATTCTTTAAAAGAACCCATCTGACTTGACTGGAACATGGTGAAACACAATTATATATTGGGTAAGACAGGGAAAGGTCCTTTTTGGTAGGGAAAAAAAACCTAAGTAAAAGAGAAGAATTGAAATTCTCTTTCTGCTGAATGCATTTTCTGCTACCATTGAGTTGCTGAGCTAACAAGTCATTATTTGCACTAAGGCACTCAGTTATATCTGCACAGCTCAAAATCATTGCTACCTACTGTGAATTTTTTATTATTATTTTTGCTAGTTATTTAAATTGCCCTAAATCCTGCTACTTCTACAATTAGAACACAGCACTGCCCATTTATTGGCCAAATAATCCTTGTAATCTTCACTCTGCTTTAAACCTATACAGTGATTCCAGATTGCCAGGGTCAATCGTCACCCTGCCAACCAAGATCAATGTAGTTTGAAGCATTAAAAGGATTTCTTCTTTACACATGCCCAGGATTGCCTAACGCAAGTGATGCAGCTGACACAAGCTCTCTGGCCACACCCAGTGACTTCATTTCTCTTTATTTTGCAGTTTCAGGGGTTTAGATACAACAACCACAATCCCAGCACTGCACAAATCACACGTTCAGGACTAAATCACACGCACCCAAAACACATCACAGAAAAAATTTCCAAAAGCAACACACAAACAGAGGGATGAAACCTGTAGCACAATGAGCTCAAACTACCCCAAAGTAGTTGCATTTTTGTCCGAATTTTGTGCTTTTTTTTCTTAGAGCTATTACACTTTGAGATAGAACAGAACAAAATTACAAAAGCACTTGCTAGTGTCATGATCCAGCACATTACAGTGCAGAGGGCAGGTACTCCACTCCAGTTCCTGACGTCGGGAAGTCCCCTCAGTCAGAGAAATTCACAGGCCAAAGGTAAAGCCATAAAACTTTCCAGAATTTTCACCTTAAACTTCTCTCCATATCCACTTAATTTAAAAATATTTCCTCCCTTCAAAGAATGAAGCAACAAAAAACTTGTAGAATAACTCTTAACAGGATATTTTTGTCATTTTTAATTCACAGTTATGTTTTATTAATCAATCTTCCTTTTTTTAAAGTTATACTTAATGGCATTTGAATCTGAAACCAGAATAACTATCCCCACACACACATCCATCTATCACAAAATTTAAAAAATAAATCAACAACAAATGCAGAGAGAAAATCTAATAATATTGGCACTAATATCTATAAAGACTCATATTTTGGCTCCTGGTATTTTTATCGCTCTGAGACAGTGCTATTCCAAGTCTTACAAGTCAGATTTTGCCTCCAACTAAGCATGGAGCAGCCAATTCCTCCTTTCCTTCATCCTGTAACAAATCCACCAGCAGGGAGTTGATAAGAGTAGATCAGACCTGGAGAGGTAAAATTACAGGACGTGGGAAAGGCTGCAGGACGGTCAGCTCTTGGGATTCTAGAAACAGAGGATTAGGGAGCTGTTACTAGTGATGGGGGAGAAGTCTGGAGGCAAGGGGAGCCCTAGAAGGGCTCTCACTCCTTCACCCAGCACCAGCCAAAGCACAGGGTAATGCAGGTATGGCTGCAAGGCCTCCTCCTCTTCCCCTGCCTGGAAGACTTGATTCCTTCATGTGTTCTTCCTCTATTTAGAGACTTGACACAAAATCCACCCCCTTTGCTCTTTGCTCTCTGAAGGACCTCACACTGTCAGACAGACATGCTCTGCTTTCTGCTCCATCATACAGGAAAACTGAGGCCCATGTCTCCAGGACAGCAATGACAACTCTCAAAATACCTGGGGATTGATTCTTTTTTTTTTGCCTTTATGTTAACAAAAAAGTATAATCTTGCTTTATAAAAGATTTTCCCCCATTTTCTTTTAGACCTGGTCCCTCTTAATTGGTTTTTGTGCTTCCCACTGTTCTTGACAAAAAAACTCTGCAATAGAGGAATTCATAATTAAAAATGCAACATTCTCCGTGGAAATAACATTTGAAACACCAAACAATTATTTTTCTTCAGCGTAACTCACATCCACACAAGGTGCACTTACAATAGTTTTTCAGATTTTTAAATTATTAGATGAGGAAATACATAATATTGACACTTCAGCACATTAAACAAACATACCAGTTTCCTACAACAGAGACTTCTGCCTTTGGACTACATGATAACGCACCACCACAAATGAAAATGTAAAATTTAGTCAGGGAGGGAGAAGGACATTTCTCAGAGTGAAGGGTCACTAGCATGAGCAGTTCTGCTGCGAAGGGGGTGGGTTATCTGTGAGTCTCATGCTCCTTCCAGAAGTGCCCCTGGAATTGTCTGATTCTACACTCTCCGACATCTTTTCACAGATTATATCCACGAGACGCTCAAACACCTGCCTCACGTTGATGTTTTCCTTGGCACTGGCTTCAAAATAGTCAAAACCTGTGGAAAAAGTGAGCAGAAAGTATCAATAGAGGCTGAGGATGATGATGATGATGATTTTTAAAATACCATTTTTTCCAGAATGCACCTTAAGAAAACGAGACATTACATAATTCTTAAGCTCTGTTGATTCCCATAATCTCGGAATAGTGAGCAGAAATTCTTCTAAAATTTATCAAGCATCAGTGAGATGCTATCTGATATTTATCAAAGGGATAAATGGATCCTTACTATCACCCTGGTAAGCATATCTGCAGATGATACAGATCTGAATAAACCCAGGATAAAGGAGTCGGATTCTCCCCCTTTCATCAGTGAAAGTCCCCTGGGCTGCAGCTGGTGACATGCCACCCCCAGCAAGGGGTAAGGAACCTTCCTAGGCTCCACACACCCCTGCCCAGGGCCAGGCTGGCTCTACCAACCCCTACTGCAATCTGGCAAGAGCAGAGGCCAGAACGAGAAGGAAGATAGTGGTTTCATTCCTTCTGCTGACCAACCTCTGCACTCAGGAGCAAAATGCTCCATGATTTGGGTCTTGTTTCTTCCCATTCTTTGTCTGTTTAGATGGAAAGCTCCTCAGGGTGATTGATTCTTGCACAGCACAGAGCACTGCCCTGACAGGAGGTTCAGCACCACTGAACTACACCCAACTTTAATTCCAGTGTCCAGTCACCGGCTCTTCACTGCAGTGATGAGCACGGATCAGATCCTCAGACACTGACCCTTTCTGATTAAAAAAACCAAACAAGCAAGGCTGGAGTTATGCCACGAAGGGGATGGCACAGACAGCTCTTCCTGCTGCTCCCTGCTGACACTCGAATCAGCCTCCCCCAGACAGCCCAAAGCCTGCCCCAGCAGCAGGAACGCGCTCAACTGTGAAGCATTTCCTTATCTTTCCAACTCCAGGGGCCTCAAGGGCCAACCAGTGCTTACAGTGGCTGTTGCTGCTGTTCTACCAGGTTATTAAATTGCCAGCAGCAAGAGCTGAGGCACCATGGAGAGTTTCTTTTGCAATAAGCTACATTCTGTTGTGCTGCATTTTGGGGATGTTCCACATTGCATCAATTTCCTTTGACTCTGCCACAAACAAAGGGAAAGATAATTTGTTTTAACTGATTAGTCTGCCACTGCCGGTAGGCTGAGTCACCTCGATGTGTGAGATAAGTAGGTATCCACCCCATTCAAACCCTTTTTAAAATTCAGGGGACAACCAGTGAAGTGATGGTGGAGCTGTTTGCCTCTTAATTAACAGGGGTGGCTCTCCTGCACAGAGTGTTGTCTGCCACTCTTGTGTCTTTGATGGTGAATAAAAATATACATAAAAAGCACAGGAAATCAGAGAACTGCACTTAGATATTAGTCAGTCCAACACTGACATCTCTTTTGGTTCAGTTCATGATCAGGCCAGGAGCAATTCCTTAATCTGATTAGGGAATTATTTCAATGATGTTAATGTCACTATACAAATTTAGATCAACATGCTGAAGGATAACCTTTATGTGAATCATTATGATGAACTGTAGCAGTTTAAGCAGTCGATAGCCAATTAAAGAGATTCCTCCCAGCTAACACACAAAATAATTTCAGATAATGCTGCACACATTAACGTAGTTGCTATAAGGAAAAACTGACTGATAAAATCAGATCTATTTTTCAGCCCTTTTAAAAAGTGTTTAGTATTTTGGGAGGCTATAGAAGAGCAGGGCTGGGACAGCACTTCCCAAAGGATTCACTAGCTTTTGGGTTGCTCTGCACTGGGGTGTGTTTGTCCAGGGTGAGCTGGACAGACAAGAGGACAGGTCAGGGGCAGAACTGGGGATTCTTCAGCAAAACAGTTTCCTACTGACGGATTCAGTTGCTATGGTAACTCTATGTGTGTGTGTGTGGTTTGAAGTGTCCCATACATAAAGGATTCAGATTCTAGATGCCAAGTTTGTAATCCAACAAACAGAGGAATTTTGAGGTGAGAAAAAAAACATTAGATGTCCAAATTGGAGTGAGAGTTCAAATAAAACTTTCTATTTGGTGTTACGTTGGTCTGGACAAATATTCAACTACTAACAGTGTAATTATTCCTGCAAAATATGTGGACACACTTGCACGCACAACGTTTTTGAGAGTCTGCAAGCCAGGAGCCAAGTTTATTCACAGTAATATTTTCAAAAGCAAATTAACTTCTGATGGGTAAAAAAGAGCCCATAACTGATTTTGTAAACTAACCATGTCTCTGTTTGCTTTGATAGTCCTACATGTAAAGATGTATTATTACAATAACAATACTGATGAGTTTAGTTTGATATTTGCTCATTGTTTTTTTAATGATGGCAGTGCCTCAAGGCTCAAGTCACTGAATGGGACCCCTTTGTGCTTGCCATATGTAGAATTTACACTGGAAAGCTCTAAACCTGCAGGATTTTGCAGACATGCCTTTTTTTTTTACATGAAACATGAAAAAATAACCTGATTGCTCTTAACTCTTTGTAACAGTGACCATCTTTTTGTTAAAATTTAAATTAATTTTTTAAACAGGATTTACTTGCTACTTTGAATTCTTTAACAGAAGATAGCAGTATAGTTAAATCTTAACACAAAGCCCTGATTCCATATTAAAAATATCATATATGCTATAATGGATAATTAAAAATGATAGATAAATACATGATAAACTAATATAAGCTTATTTTGCTGTTCATTCTGAAATTTTCATTGCAATCCCAATTTCCTCTTTTTCTATCCCACATCAACAACATAATGTCATTTCCTTACTTAGATAAAGAAGCCTAGTACATTTTTAAAATATGTTTTACTCAATTCTACAGTCCTCATGTATAAACTCCTTTTTTTTTCACTGTTTAATTAAAAAAATAAATTCTTCAACAAAAATCAATGTTTGCATTGATTTGCAATGAGTACACGGGACTTGGAGACCTGGAGACAGAATTGTGTTTATGAAAACCTTTTCTCTTTTCATTCTGCTGAGCTAATAAAACCTTTTCTGTTCAGACAAACTTTATCTTCCTTCCATCCTCAGACATTACCTTTACAGATACAGCAACACTACAAGTATTCTACCAAGCACATCTTGGCCTACTGAGCATGAAGCAAGTAAAATATGGATCTGGAATATATTACACTTCTTAGTTGTGAGACCATTATTAAAGTATTACTCCTGACGGGACTTTTTATTGTACAAACTAAAAGGAACACGGTATAAGGTAGTAGAGGGAAAAAGAGACAGAAAGAAAAGCTTTCCACGTACCGAGTTGATCTGCCAGGTGTTTCCCCTTCTCCACAGGAACAATCCTGTCATCCTCCATGTCACATTTGTTTCCAACCAGGATCACTTGTGCATTGTCCCAGGAGTAAGTCTTGATTTGTGTGGCCCTGCAGCAGGTCAGAAAAGACTGTCACATTCCATCAGCTGTGCCAAAATAATCATATATTAAATATAAAAACAAGTACCATTAATGACCTGGCTTACACATAAAGGAAGGATGCAGACTCTGTAGTTCACAGCACCATTCTGTTTTACTGCTCCTTAATTTGGTGTGACAATAAAGTTTCTTGTTAAGACTTTGCAAGTGTTAAAAGATCATGAGATCCAGATAAAAAGCTGAACTGAAGAATTTTTGAAATCTAGGGACAAAAAAGCTTATTCTCCTTCTGCTGTCTTCTGTCAGAGGAATGGCAATCAATTATAGCTCTTCAGGATAATTGTCCCATAGAGAGAGTCATACAATAGATGCACACTTCATGCTGGATTTACAACTTCTTATAAAAGACAAAACAACAATAATTTAGAGCAGACAAAAAAAGATGCTCATTTGCTGCAGCACATTTGCTGTAGAGTTTTAGGAACACCATAAATACAGGTGGAAAGATCAAGTCATCTTTGCTTGAACAGGAAAAGGGGTTCATGGAGGCTGAAAATTGCATAGAAACATGGAAATAATTGCTAAAGAGAAACAGAAAGGTACCAAATCAGGAAGATATGAGATCAAGGCAAGGCTCTGTGAGCTAATATTTGAACCCAGCAGGATGAAGTGATACTTAAGGCAGGGAACAGCAGATGCAACGACAGACAGCAAGTACAGGACCAACGCTAACTTCAGTGGCAGAGGGGGCTTAGGAAGGAGCACTCAGGTGAACTTAGAGACTCTAGTGGAGCTCACTGCGGATCCCAAGTTGGTCTCTTTATAGTTTTTCCATGATGAAACTGAAGATTTTCCTCCTGTTTATCCTGAGGGCCAGTCCTCTCCCACCATCCTCGGGGAGGTGCCCCAGGGCCAGCAGCAGAACAGTATTAGCTTGGGGGCGTTCACTTTCATCCAGTTTTTCAGACCAGCACAACCTATTTGATCTTCCCCAAGTCAGCTCTATCTTTTCTGATTCTCTCCTTCCCAAAGGTAATTAGGCTGCTCTGCCAGAAGCAATACACTCCTTCCCAGCTCCAGCCCTCCTCCAGTCCCTAAATCACCTTCCACTCTTTGTCCCTATTAACCACCAAACCAAACTGGACACTGCACTTTCAGGCAACCCTGCCATTTTCTAGGAGAGCCAGGAGTCCTCTCAGATTTTTACTTCTGTTTAAGTTTGCTTGAACTCCCTTAACAATAAAGCACTTGATTCCTTCTTCTTTGAATTAGCAGGAGCCTCCAGCTCTGATCTACTAATGACAATTTTTAATTAGTTTGAGTTGCTTACTTGCCTTTTCCATGGAAAGAAGCCAGTGGTGTTACTTCACAGATAACTATGGAAAAGGGGGTCATTTCACTGTGCAACTTGCCTTGAAGAAGGAGCAGCCTGTTTGGATTGCACTGGAAAACATAAACCTGACCCAAGCCCACTGCACAAGCCCAGACCCTTAGTGCAACACCCAAAAATAAACAAAGTCTCCGTGCAATGAAATTTTTTCCTCTTCCTAGTGCCCTCCTGGAAAGGCACTCTCTCCAACCCCAATTTTGGCTCCTCCAGTTTCACCCTTTTGAGTGACTCCAGGTAGACAAGCCCCATGGGAGCTAATATGAGTCTGTGATGAGCTTATGTGGGATTCTGGGGTTTCTCAAGGCTCATCACAGAAGGGGGTGACTGCAGAAATGAGCCAAAAGCCCAGGAACATGAAATCTCCCCAGTCTCCATAAGCAATGGAGAGAAATAAAGTCTTCCCAGGTTCAATTTAAAACACCTATAAGCAGGCTCTTCTTCTGACTCCCAGTTCAACCTCTGGATACATTTCAGCCTCTGGCATTGGATGGGGACACACTGCCAAATCTCAACTATTTAAACAGAATTACTTATCAAAAAGAAGCAAACTGCATGAAGGATCCCCCACAGAAACATGTCCTTCTTGTTTTGTACAAGCTAGAGAAAAACCTCTTACAGAACACCAATATTTACTCTTATCAGGCATAAAGATCAACCAACCAAAAAAAGTTATGAAGAACATCTAAAGGAAACCCTGATGCCATTACAAAAAATGGCAGCAAATTTCCAGAAACTTTTGGAAAGACAAATTACTCAACAACAAGGCTCGTGCAATTGAGATGTTTCAACAGCTATCAGGGTGAGCCCAATATACACACTGGGAGAAAGGTATTTCTGTGACAAAATAAAAATGCTGTGCTTTGTTTGTGCTGAATTCCCCAAATTAACAATAAAACACATTTTCTGTGCTTCACATGTGAACTTAGAAGAAAAATAGTCTCAGGTTCACAGTTACAACAGGAGGTATCAACAACCCAATTTAGAGATCAGCTTTAAAGACAAATAACGCTGATGATTTGTGAACCCAGCTGTCACTTATATCTAAGTTAAATTTTACCAATTTTTATTTTCCTTCTATGAAATTGTCTAGATTGTCCAAAGCAGAGCTTGCATAATATTTTCTATTTACTTTACATTTTCAAATACTGAATATATTGTAGTTCCAGTACAGTTTCAAATGAGGTATAAACCACTGATTTATCTACACACAAAACTATCAACCCAATGTCAAATAACAGCTACCAAAGGAGACTACTAAAAAAAATTCTAGAAACTGAGCTGAAAGCCAGGAAAGCTAATTTAACCCTTTTACTCACCCTACAGGAAATACATCTTATATTCAAACAAAATAATTACTTCTTTTCAAATATCAGGTAAACCCTATCTTTGCATTTGCCCATTTATTCTTTTTCCTGTAAAATAATCTGACTGAACTCTTGCCACACTGCAGTAAGGAAAATCACTCAGGCTTAATATTTTAAGGCTTCTCATACATGTTTTACTTTTTCCAGTGAACAGAAAAACAAGTCATGTTCCAGGTATTCCCAAATACATTTAAATTGTGTATCTTTCTCAGCAGCTTTAAGAAAATCATAATTAATTGATGTGATTGATGTGAATGAAAGAAATACTCTACTTCACATTCATATACTACCTGGAGAGCTTGTCTAAATACTGATATACAGCCACAATCCTCCTCATTCAGGAGAAAGGGTGACTTCACTTGGTTTAGGAGAAGTATGAGTGACACAAAGCAAACCAGGATCCTCTTTAGGACATCTACCCATAAGAAGGGTGAGGTAAAATGATCTCCCAAGGGAGAAATCATATGGCAGACTGGAAGAGATATTCTCATTTCCCTTGTGGGCAGGTGAGGCCCGATCAGGAGGCTGTTAAAACAGTCATGTACCAACGAACCAAAGACAAAGGCTCTGAGCTAAAGGAGCTCAAGGAGGAGATATCTTAATTTTCCAGGAAGAATACAGTTCCTGACTGAAGACCAGATCCAGTGTAATTGGGTTTTTTACGCATAACTATATCATGCAGCATGGTGGGAGAAAAAAACCCACCAAAAATCCTACCTATTTGCTATGCTAGAAAATGGCAGAGGCTGGTATAGCAGCACCAGCATCAGACAAAAGCTTTTGTTTCCATTTCTTGTGCCTTCTGAAGTTTAGAAAGCAATTTTGCAGGCTGGAAAAAACCATCTCTCAGCTGCATGGCCACTAGAGGACTCTGCTGGCCCAGCGTTGCTGGCTTTGCTACAGCCCTCATCTCCTCTCTAGTGGACCAGCTTCAGGAAGGAAAGAAATGTGTCGATTTTATCCTCCCCACAACATAGTTTGTGCTCAGAATCTTAAAACTGGTTACAAAGATTCCTGACACACAGAGTGAAAATACACCGATGGTTCACCTCTGTCCTTTGGCTGACAAGGTGCTCTTAGCAAAGATATTCCTGCAGCTCCCGTGGCACTGGAAGACGTGAAGTCAAATTGACAAAACTGACCTTTCCCAATTCTTACTCTTGCATCAGTGCCTGTGATGGAACAGACCTTAGACCACTTCCAATACAAACCTTCAGGTTAAACTTCACCTGCACAAACTTCAAAATAGTAGCAGGTCAAAGATTGAGATCTGGGGGTTTTTTTGCTAAGTTAAAACTGATAAGTAAAACTTACTAGAGCAGAACCAACATTCAGACAGGTAGATGAGCTGTGTGGTCATATATATCTTGTTTCAGGGAACCAAGCTGAAAACATTCATAGTTTAGTGAAAGATAGCCCTAGCTCACATACCTGCAATCCTATGGAAAACATCCCCATGCACACACTTGCAGAAGAAGCTTCATCTGAGCTTGGTGGAGTGTGTGCCACATAGAGGAAACTGGTTTTGGCAAAACCTTTGGGTTTGTGTTTCTAACAAGGAAAAAAATTATTCCTCTATCACCAGGTGCTGCAGTACAGCTTAGGATGTTTCTGCAGTTCACCTTCTGCAGCCTGGTTCATGGTACTGAGACGGGTTGAAATTATTATAAACAACAAACCACATGGTTGCAGCTTTTGAGTTACAGCCTAGATTAGAGGGTACAGAATAAGTGTTCAACAGACAGCCAGGCTGAGCTGGATGCTCAGAACCAGAGCCAAAGCCAGCACGTCAAATTCTCCCAACAGGTCACCCAGATCAGTGCAATTCCATCAGACTTGGGAGATCCCATTAACCGCTGCACTGCCTTTTTTTGCACCCTGACCACTTATCTGCAATACACAGCAACCGGGTTACAAGCAGAAATTATTGAGGGGACTCACAGGGCTACTGCTTCTGAGGATAAATGCAGCCTTTCCCCAGATCCCTGAGATTTGAAAAGAACAACCACTGTTAAACTGAATTGTTTTAGCAGCATAGCCAGAAACCTCATAAGCCCAAATAATGCATTAAAGGATTAATTTCTTTATAATAAATTTAAACTTTTAAAAGCAACAAGTTCTATAGTATGCTACAATATTTGAATTATAACGTTTTTATTAAAGTGAAGCTAAAGAACTTTTTTGAAGGAAAGTTTAGAGTTTAGATGAAGAGGAAAAACATGGTGATGCAAAGCATTATAGACGGTGGGATGTCTCATGTTCTCAACAAACAATTGTGAGGAGAGGATTGAGCAAAACCCAAACAAACCCAACAAAATCAGTATTTCGTACCAGTCCTGCACTGCATTGAAGGAGTCTTCACTGGTGATATCATACATGAGCACAAAGCCCATGGCTCCTCGGTAGTAGGCAGTAGTGATGGTCCTGTATCTTTCTTGTCCAGCTGTGTCCTGGAACAAAAAGGAATATTTAGGCTTTAAGACTTCAGTTCTCAGAAGCAGGAGTTGTAATTAGGTCCTGTATCTAAACTAAGGCAACCACTTTTTGTTATACATTTTAAAATTCTCATTTGCTCCCAACTGAAATGAACTCTACTTACATTTTAGCATTAATTAGGCTTTTGCATCAACCATGATTTGTTAAATGCATTTTGACATATGTAGTGTTAAAAAAAATACCAAAGATGCCGACTCTTTAATTGCTCTTCTCTGCCTCTACCTCAATGCAATAATAAAACCTTACAAGAGTTCACTGAAAGCTGACACCTCAAAGCAGAGGCAAAAGACATTTACGTGTTGCAATTCAGTGCCACGGTCAGGGAAATGTCCTTGAGAGAGATGCCAGGGCTGACTCAGTTCTTACCTCAGGTTAGAGATAATGATTAAAGTCCTGATGCAATGAACTTTACTATATAAAGTTAATTTAATGTGGAATATCCCAATCACAATGTCTGAGGTGCACGTATTAATTTGAGAGTTACTAATCCTCTCCTGCTGGTTCAGCTTAATTCTCTTTACCTATAGAGCCCTGCAGAGTACCTCTACTTGTGTTTGTCATTTCTGTGTTCGTCATTTCTGTGTTCAGCCCGGCAGCACAAAGGTGAAACTCTGGCATATACAACAGAAGAATTCTGAAAGACTCATGACAGCTAGAAAACATGTCAACCACCATCTGTTGAATGCCAATAACATTTATTCTTCACATTTTGCCTGCTTTTAAACTGAGGGATATTTCTACTCCAAATCAGCAGTTCTGCAGTCAGTCCATTCCCTCTGGAAAAAGGAGAGAAGTCGCAGGCTGAACATATCTCTCATTCAGGAGATATCTATCAGTTGAACAAAGACATTTCATCCATTTTTTGGCAAATGGCAGCTCTGTGAACAGCTGCAGGGAGGCAAAAGGCCTTGCCTTCAAAGCACGTGCTCAGCATGAGGTATTGACTGCTAGTTACCGTGCTGGTTTAGCAGTTCTGAAATGAGCAGTCCTTTAGTCTCCCAAAACCCACACTGAAGAAAGCATTTCCTGCCACTGGTTTAAAATGTGATTAAAGTTCTCTTCTCTGGAGAAAAAGACCCTAAAGGACTTATTAACCATGTAACTACTTGGAAGAGTAAAATAAATCCATGTAGAGCACTCTTGCAGGAGTACAGAGATCAGACACAGCACATCACCACAACCCCAGGAGACAGTGGGTGGGAAACTACTCATCTTTAAAATCATCTTGCCCATTGTTCCCATATATGCAGCTTTGTTTTTGCTGCATGCAAGGCAGTGTTGGCCCTGCCAGAACACATGCCAGTCAGTCTGGGATCACCTGCTGTTCTGCACCAGAATATCACAGAGCCTCTCTGTAGGAGGAGAGCGCTTGTAAATAAACTCCTGACAGCTTGCTTAAAAGGCTCTGCCTATTGCACTACTGTGAGAACATCCGTAGCTGTAACACACTGTGCATTTCCCAGTGGAGAGACTATGCAGCATGTATCTTGCCATTTCTCCAATTCTCAGGAAAAAGAAGGAATTTTTTCCTTTAAACTTGTGCATTTATTTCAAGAGGGGCTAGTCCACTGGCTGATCATGATGAAGCATCATACACTGCCTGAGAAAGAGTTTTCCTGTTCCCTCCTGACAAGAGGTACCAGAACAAGGTGAACTACACCTTGCAGCCTGAGTGACCTTTTCCTCTCCTGCCAGTGATAAATCCACCACTCTTGTAGTCCCTGACAGCACATCCTGACTTGGCTGCTGAACAGCCATGACAACTAGATCCTACCTATACTTCTTCAAGCAGGAAGGTCTCAGCAACAATAGTGTTGTTCTTTTATTCAGAGAGACATAATAGTTGCTTTATTCTAGCCTGATTTTATAAAGACATGAGGCTTATTAAATCATCAGTGTCCACACGTGCACTTTTGATCAAATTTAACTGAGGGGAAATGCTTTCAGATGTTCCTTACACATGTCACAAAAAATAGCTGGTAAGGTGAAGAGAGATCTTAAGCATACCTTAGCTGGGAAGAAAGCTTAAGTGCAATGATCTTTTTCCGATACCAGCAGGAGAAAGGCTCTCTTTGTGCCTCGTTAGGAGAAAGCCCTAAATCAATATTAGTAACTTCACAGATTCTGTAACCAACAAAACCAAACAAATCCATAGGAAGTCTGGCTTCTTCACTTCTCATGCCCACACCATTGTTGTTTTACACCTGCATTCCCAAGTTCTTCTCTCTCCCAGATCTCACCTAGTATTTTCTCCTCTGTGTTTAACTAGTGCTCATTTTGGCTTAGGGCATGAGGCTGTGACTGGGCAGTAAGTGACTGCAAGACATATTGTCTGGCTACATGTGGAATAATTCGGAAAGAAATTAAATTTGACAATGGCTCAGAGCAAGGACTTAGCTCTGGGGACATATGTCCAGGTTGTCCTGGGAAGCAGCCCCAAGGGATGCTGAGGGTGACTTCCAAAACCTGTCCTGATACCATCTCAGTGCCTCAGCTCAGTGAGGAATTGGACTCATCTGAGATAAAGGCAAATTATTGCCTGAAAGCTCTGGAATTTAGCAAGTCTGGTTTGTTGATTGCAGTTTTCTGCCTGTGACCCCCCTGTGTGGGGGGCAGGGCCCCAGTTTATACAACAGTGAGAGATGGGGCTGCAGGAGGTACAGAACCCCAAAGGGCTACATGCATTTACATGGTGATAACCTGTTCTCTGGTGGACAGTGCACTTAACTCATTAGAAAGGTAATTTGCATATTCATACACTTAGGTGCCTGCCTCCTCAGGTTATCAAAGGGAGTGTGTTGTGAGGGAAAGGCATCCTATGTTTCATGGTACGTAAAGTTTATTGATAACCTTGCCCTGGTAGCCATGTGGCAGAATGCAGAGATGTGATTCATCTCCACGTGAGTCACTGATGCCTTCCTCGCTCTGTTTGACTGTACAGGTACAGAGCATGTCATCTCCCCTTACAGGCTTGTAGTTGCATTTCTCCAAATGCATTTGAATTGTTGTTATATCACCCTGAAATTACTTTTTTCCTCAGGTTACATTAGCTTTAGACAGCGATAAATTGGCTTAATTTTCTCGACTCACACCATGAGCAACCCCCTCACAGACGCCTTGACTGAAATAAAATAAAATAAACTGCAAAATCTGAACTCACTTTCTTCAGCATTTACAATAATTGTCCTTACCTCAATCTAAACCACCACAAACCTTAGCTAATTAGGCATTTCAGGTTTTCACATTCAAGTTGTTTATCCAACGAAGGAGAAAATAACTGACAGAGATTGCTGCCCTCCTCCCCCCCACCAAGTTGTTTGCAAGATTTCCAGGTAGACCACAAACTCATCAGAAGACAAGTAGATGAGGCACAGGCAGGGATCAGCAGAGAGGTGATGTAGCACTAATTAAGAGCCTAGCCAAATGCCTGAGAAGAAGAGCCTGAGCCTTCAGCATCCAGAAGCCTGCTAGGCTGTCCCTGATGAGGAATCAGAGAGCTTGGCTGTAACCAAGCACAGAAGCGTCTCTGTGAGGTATATTTACACCAGTATGCTAACAGCTCTGTTCTTCTGTAGCTATTGTGTGTGCCTGTCTTTGATACAAACAATTAAAAACACCCACAAGACCATTAGTTGGGAGCTCGAAACAGAAATTTGAAGGTTTCGCATTAATGAGCAATCAAAATTCAGTGTTTATTCAGAGGAGAAAAAGACCTAAATGTATTAGCATTGTGTGCAGATGCCCTCCAGTCACGAGATCCATCACATAAACATTTACAATAGAAGCACAACCAGCTTTTCTTAAATTTACTTGGCTGTCTCAGCAGAAACTGCAAGGTACTTACACAGAAAACATATTTGAGTTTTTAAATTATGACAGATGCCCTTTGCTGCAGGTCTGAAAAATCAGAATCCATGATTCTGAACCATCCTTCTTCTAGTGAAGATTTCCAGCTAGAAGTTCTTTGTTCCAAATAAAATGTCACTGAAACATCTAATCTGTACTGAATTTAATCCCCTTAGCACCATGACTTTTCTAGCAGTGTAAGTGACAAATAGCCTCTAAAGAAATAAACCTTTCCAATTTTTTAAAGGATTATGGTTTGATTTTCATGGGGTTTGGTTTTTTTTTAAAGAGGAATAATACTCAAGAGTAAGAGTTGCTTACAGTCCAGCTAGTTGGCAACATTTACAAGATGCACGTACTTAGCACCATCACTTAGGCTGCTCAGAGTCAGAACAGAGGTCACATTCACCCCAATAACCAGCACCCAGCACAATCTGGGGCTTCATCAGTTGTGAAGGAGTTTCTTCTTCCCTGCTGTTCAGTGTCACATTGTAACACCTACGCTATAGGTTTTTGCACCTTTTTTACCTTGTTTGGAGTTCGGTCAGCCTTGGAGATAGGATAATCCACTTCCCAGCCCCGTAGTTATGGAGGCAACAAGTTGTTAGACATCAAAGTGTCAGGGAACATCTGACTCCCTGCAAACACAGCTCAGTTCTCAGCAAGACTGGCCACCTCAGCTACTGTTCTCTACCTGACAGATAACCCGAAAAAACAAGAAATAGAGGCACATCCTGAAGGCAGAGGGCTGTTTTTCCTCTATCTGGGGCTCAGTAACACTCGAGCCCTTTACATCCAAGACCTGTTCACTTTCCCTTCAGCACGGATGAGAAACATCTGTACTCCCGTGGCGCTGTGCTGGTGTCTCTGCTGTGAACAGTGAGGGTGCCACTGTGCCATCAATAACTCCATTCCACCCCACTCTGTTCCCATCTCTCCAACTGCTCGTGCAGTCCTTTCCACTGCTGCCTTGTTCTGCCTTCCTCACTGGACTGAACTGGCTGCTCAAAGCAGCCTTTCCTTACCTTTCAGAACTGTTGCAATATGAAATGTTAAAAGTCTCATGACCTCCAGCAAATCTAGTTGTTTTGGTCACTGTTACTGATGT